AGAATGAGAGAAAGAAACAGACAAACAGATGGGACCAAACACAGATGTTTATATGGAAGCAAAATCTAACAAAGTTTACTGTTCTTAAGACTTGCCCTGACAGGCATGATGGTACACTCCTTTAATCTCAGCACTCAGAAGGCAGAGGCAGGCAGATCTCTGTGAGTTCAAGGCCAGCCTGGTCTACAGAGCAAGTTCCAGGACAGCCAGGACTGTTACACAGAGACACTCTCTGTCTTGAGCACAAACCTGCCCCCAAATAAACAAACTTGTCTTATAGGTCAATATTTTTAAAGAAGATTTATTTAGTTGTGTGTATATATATATATGCACATATATATACAACTACATATATATGTGTACATATATATATTATATGTGTGTGTGTACACGTAAATGTACATGTGTGTTTGTGTGCCATGTCTGTGCAGGTGCCCACAAGGCCAGAAGAAAACATTGGATTCTCTGGAGATAACCTGGAACTACTTGACAATGTGAGTGTTGGGAACTAAACTCAGGTCTGCTAGAGGAACACCAAGCTTTTCTAACTGCTGAACCATCTCCTCAGTCCCATGAGAAGGTATTTTAAAGTTAGCCCTCTCTCCCAAAGACAGCTGGAATGCAAGAAAAGAATATTGAACAAATAATTTGTGTGTGTATGTGTATGTGTGTGCGTGTGCACGCATGTCCATCCCCAGGGACAGGGACTGATCTCAGGACTTTGTGCATCCTAAGTTTGCGGTGTTTAGAAAGTTATGGGCTTAAAAGACCTGAACTACCTAACAATCATATTTAAAATGGAAGAGTGGAACCAGGTCTGGCATTCACCTTTAATCCCAGCACTCAGGAGGCAGAGGTGGGAAGATCAGAATTTTAATATCATTCCTCTGTCTTTAAAAAAGCAAAAACAGGAAAGATAGGAGAAAGCGATTTAATATTCTTACATTGTTTGAAAGGGAAGTAAAAATACTCTCTAACATTAAGCTGTGTTAAGTTAAACATTAATTGAAAGATTTCGGGAAGGAGACATAAAAGTCCAAATTTCAAACAGCAGAGAATATAGTAGAAAGGAAAGAAAATAAGAAAGAGAGAATGGAAGGAACAGGGGAAAGAAATCAGTAATTATAGCATCTTGGACATAGAGCCAATCTCAAAAATAAGTGAGGAAAAACTGTCAGAACCAAAAGAAGGGAACTGAATGCCAAAGTTTAGAACAGGCCTCATAGATGCCCAAGTGGGATCTAGATCTTGAAACCTGGGTGTTAGGGTCTTGGTGTCTGAGTTGTGCAGGGATGGAAGGTCAGGCCATAGGCAGGGATCAGGGATCAAAAGCAGTGCTGGTTAGTTTTATGTCAACTTGACACAAACTAGAGTTATTTGAAAGGAGGGGACCTCAACTGAGAAATGCCTCCATAAGCTTCAGGGCATTTTCTTAATTAGTGATGGGGGGCGGTAGCCCATTGTGAGTGGTGCCATCCTTGGCTTGGTGGTTCTGAGTTCTGTAAAATAGCAGGCCAAACATGCCATGAACAAGCCAGTAAGCCGCACCCCTCCATGGCCTCTACATCAGTTCTTGTCTGCAGGATTCTATCTTGTTTGAGTTCCTGACTTCCTTCAGGGATGAACAGCAATATGGAAGTGTAAGCCAAATAAACCCTTTCCTCCCCTACTTGCTTTGGGTTGTGGTATTTCATCATAGCAATTATGACCCTAACTAGAACAACAAGCAACAGGATGAAAGTGTGTCTCTCCATGGACTGACTTAGAATGGTAAATCCAGAAAACAAAATACCCAAACCAACCAACTACTCCCCAATCTCATCAATAAGCCAGGGCCGTAGAACCTCTATCCTAGTCTTTCTAGAAGCAGATCGCAAAAATAGTAAATCTAAGAACTCATCAATGTGTTCACCTAACACTTTGAATTTCATGGAGTTTAAACAATTGTGCTTGAGACTCCAATAAAAACAACAATAGTGAAACAACAATAAAAAGGGCTGAAATACAAATATTGAAAAGAAATGTGCAAAATTGTATCTGCAGGTAATAGGATAGTTTATAGAGAAAAAGAAGCAATCCATCGCTGTGAGAATTGATTAGGAAACTCATCAAGATTTCTAGGTACAAGATTAACATCCAAAATTTTTTGTGTTTCTTTTGCAACCAACATAAACAATGATAGAAATAAGGAGAAAGACACTATTCCCAATGGCGATGTAACAGAAAATATGCAAAGGCATTCATTCACAAAGGAAGTTAGCTGACAGGTGAGTGAGAGAAAGCATGACACTAAATCAAAATCCAATCCCAAAGACTGCAGATGGAGGGAGAGACAACATTCTTCCATATCCCCACGAAGCGTAAAGAAAATCCTGATCTATAACTCAAGAGTGAGGTGGCAAGAGGAGGCCACAGTCAACACACAGAGTAAGAAAATATAAAAGTCTATAATTATTGAATGCTAGGTTTACAAAAGAAATGGCAGACTCTAACTCGGAGGACTGTCCAGAATAGCAAGAAAAGAGTTGGGGAGTCTTTCCCTGGGGCCACAAAGGGAAGACTCGAAGGTTATAGGAACTGAACAGCAACAACAAAACCTAAACAAACAAAAAACCTTAGAGCTGATTTGTATTGCTTTGTGAGGCAGTTACTTGGTTTGCCACTGGCTGAACCTCCTCCAAGGACGGGACAAGGAATGGAACCATTCCTTGAAGAGAGCCCTCTGCCAGAAGAACAGAAAATTCAGAACTATTAAATCTCTAAGCCCCAGGAATCTCACCTCCACCACCGATGTGGCAAGCGATGGCCCTGAAAACTACAAAGGACTCCAAGACTGAAACGAAGCTGACTCAGACTCAGAGGCAAATACGCTCAGGTGGAATGGTGGGTCATGGGCAGAAAATCAGTCAGCAGTGTCGCCAGCAGGAAAGACAAATTAAGTGTTGTGCCCCTGCACAGTCTCCACTCCCCAGAGCCTCGAATGCTAACACCAGAAAATGTGATCCCAATCAGAGAGAGGGCTTATAGCTAGCAGTGGGGGCAACCTCCAGGGAAGATAATCTGGTCTAACCTGTTTTGGAATACAAAAGCTCCTTCTCCCACAGGCACCTGTAGAGTCAGCCATAAACCACAGTTTAGGGCTTGGGAGAAAAATCACATTCATCCCAGAAGGAAGACGGATTGCTGATGATATATATATATTGTTTGAACAATCATACTGTTTGAACTGTGCAATTCAAATAAATACAGCACTTAAAATGAGTGGATCAAGTTCCACATGTATTATGATGGACAGGTCTCAGTGAAATTCTTGAATGGGAAACATTATCTTCCAGGAATACTCATTCCTATATACAACTGCTAACAAAACAGTATTATTTATTTAAAATCTTCCCCTTATTCTGTGAATGTGTGTGTGTGGGTTCCTAAATATTTTCTTTGTGCTATTGACTATTTCTTTTACTGCACAGAAAGTTCTTTCTTTGATATAATCCTACTTGTTTTTACTTCTGCTGCCAGTTTTGGGGTCTTATCCAAAAACAAACTTACACAAACCCATGTCTTCAAGTGTTCCCTCTGTTTCCTCTTAGACTTTTCACACTTTTGAAGTTTTGTGTAGCATGAGAGATGGGGACCTAGCACCAGTAATTGATAAGACAGCTTTCCAGTGTGTTTTCTTGGTGTCTTTGACAGAAACCACATGGTTTTCTGGGTTCCCTAGTATCTTTTACTTGTCTCCTTATCTTTTCTCAAGCCAATACCAGACACTTTGTAGATGGCCTTAAAAATCAGGTATTAATATGACTTCAGTTTTGTTCTTTTTACTCCATTACTTTGGCTATTCTGAGTCTTCTATAGTTTCATGTAGATTTTAGGATGTTTTTTCTGTTTCTATGAATAATATTATTGGTAAGGATTGCATTGAATCTGTAAACTGCCTTGGGTAGTATGGACACTTAAAATAATAATAATTATTATCTTGTGGTGGTTCAAATGAGAATGGCCCCCATAGGCTCATGTATTTGGATCCTTGTTTCACAGTTGTTGAAGGGAGTATGTCACTGAGGTAGCTCAGACTAGACCCAATCTTTCTCCTCTCTCCCATCTCCCATTGCCTCCTACTACCCCCCACCCTTCCCCCAGATATAAGCTTTCAGTCCCTTCTCCAGCACTCTGCCTGCCTCCCTGCTGCCATGCTGATGGTCATAGACTCACTTTTGAAACTGTAAACAAACCCTCAATTAAATGCTTTCTTTGATAAGTTGCCTTGTGTGCATAGCATCTCCAGGGACAGAAAATTAACTAAGATGTCTTCTAGTCCATGAGCACAGAATATCTTTCCTTCTCTGGTGTCATCCTGAAGTCTTTCATTAGCATTTCACATTTTTATTGCAAATATCTCTCATTTCCTTATTTCTATTTTATTTAGAGCTCAAACAACTGAATAGCAAAGAGTCCAATTTAAAAATGGATAAATGACTGGCATAGACATTTGTTTAAAAAGACACAAGGCAGCCGGGCGTTTCTTGATTAATGATTGCTGGGGGAGGGCCCAGTCCATTGTGGGCGGTGCCATCCCTAGGCTGGTGGTCCTGGGTTCTATAAATAAAGCAGGTTTAGCAAGCCTTAAGTAGCTCCCCTCCATGGCTTCTGCATCAGCTCCTACTTCCCGGTTTCTACCCTGTTTGAATTCCTGTCCTGACTTCCTTCAGTGATGAACAGCAATATGAAAGTGTAAGTCAAATAAACCCTTTCCTCTTCAAGTTGCTAGCAGTAGTAAGCCTTTGCCTTTCCCAAGTTTTTGAAATTTCAAAAGAGATGAGGAAAAGGAGGGAAAACTCAGACTCTAGGAGAGATTTCCAATGAAAAGGGTTCCTAGTAGCAGCTGGGAGAACAGGAGTCCAGTCTCTCTTATCACTGTTGCAGGGGAAACAATTCAGTTTCCTGTCTCCATGGACTGTGTGAAGAGAGGTGGTCCCCACCCTTCCCAGGCCTCTCACCGTGTCCAGCTCTGATTCCAAGCTGCAGTTTCTAATGTGCGGGAACACTTCACTGTACTTGCTTGGGTAGGTAGATGCCAGGTAGTCTTTCACCTCCTCCAGGTTGCTGGCTGTCAGAAAGCCATCTTCAAGGTCAAAAGAATTGGTCAGCAGCAGAATCACCCTGCAGAGCAAACCGTCTTCTTGACATTCATGACTAAAAGGTCATTGACTCTAAAATCTGGGAGGAATGTGGGCAGCCTCTTTCCTCTTCCCTCTTCAGTGAGGGAAGTTGATAGGAAGGGCAACTCTGGATGCCTGTGCAGAAGAGATAAGGACAGAAACTCCCTCTCAGAAGGCTACTTGACATCTGGATAAGTGGCCTCTGATGCAACTGGGTGGGATGCTGGAAGTGCTCAATACTTCATAACCAGATTAGTACCCATTGTTGGTGCAACACTTGAATGTAGCTAATGCCATTGAGGAACTGCTTAGAAATAAATTTAGAAACACTTAAAAATATTTACTTATTTTCAGACAGGGTTTCACTATACAACCTCGGCTATCTTGGAATTTGTTATGTAGACCAGTCTAGTCTCAAACTTAGAGATTCACTTGCCTCTGCCTCCAGAATGGTGAGATTAAAGGCATGCACCACTAAATTTGGCTTAGAACTATTAAACCTAATTTTATATCACAGTGCAAATTAAATGATTTGGATGTATACTGACTTCCATTAATTTCAGTCCTGGTTTAGAGATGACTACTTGTGTAAGTGGCCACCCTGCTGGACATCTTAGCATCTGAGAGATTGTCCTCTCTCAGATGTTTTGAGGGAAGCCAAAGACAGTAAACTGTAGTCTCTGAGACTTGGCTAGAAAGGTCTTGCTTACACTTGAGATGAGGAGTTGAGGAATGGGACAAAGCCACTAACATTTCTTTTTTTTTTTTTTTCTGAATGCCCCTTTCTGCTAAGTTCAATGACTACCTTAAACTGCCTGCTCCCTGCAAAGCAGGACTTAACTTTTTGGACCCTCAGAGTCTAGTGCTGGTAGCAGGCAGCAATTAGCTAGTTGAGAAAAGAGAACTGAATCACACATTGTAGACCTCAATACTGGTGTCTTTATTATATCCCTTGACTTCTGGGAGCCCAGTTTTTCCCAGTCACCCTTCCAGCTCAGAGCTTTGGAGCCTTGCCTTCCCTCTTGATGCCCAGGGGTCTGAGGGACAACTTAGACTCACTTTTTTAAGCAGTTTTCATAGTTGAAGGTGGCCTTGAAGCCATAGATGGAGAAGGTCACAATGCTGGCAAATATGGAGGTGGAGCTGTTGATGATGGACACAATGATGGCGTGTTTCTGGCAGTTGTTGGAGGGTTCATTGTAGCTGGCAAAGGCAATCAGGCTGCCAAAACCCAAGCCCAGTGAGAAGAAGATCTGCGTGGCTGCATTGATCCAGGCCTTGGGGTTGGCTAGCTGTTCCATCTAGAAAGCCAGTAGGGATAGGGCTGAGGAATCCTGAGCTCTAATCCCAAACTCTCCCTCCCAGGAGATGGTGGCTCAGTGATGTGGGAGGTCCTGTGATTATGTCAATAAAGCACCGTTGAGCCAATAGGGAACCAAGATAGGAGGGACTAGGAGTCCAGAAGGACTCTGGGTAGGAGAAACACAGGGAGTCGAGATGTAACGCCATGGGGTAGGAAGCCCAGAAACTTCTCCGGTAAGAGACATACTTAGATTAACAATTATGGGGTAATTACTTAAGTCAGAGCTAGCCAGTAAGAAACAAGCAAGGCCAACAGCTTCATAATTAATATAGCCTCCTGTGTGTTTATTTAGGACTGATGCGGCTCTAGAACCAGGCTGTCGGGAAGGCTTCTCTCAAGGAAAAAGCTTCCCTTTACAAATGGTACCAGGAGTGGGGTTGAATTTCCACGTAGAATGACAAAAGCTTTAAAGGAATTTTAGAAACAGAAGAATGGAGAGAAGCACAGATTTTTGGTAGCAGCATTTTCTCAGGTGGGCTCTGTTTTGTTAGCAGCAAGCAGACACTCGAGGCTGGCTTAAGTTAGTCTTCCTGACTCGGCATTAAAAGAAAAAAAAAGGCAACAAGGTTCTTTTAAGAGGATTTGCTAACGATTTAAAAGTTGTACGTACAGCTGGAAGTGGCAGTGACCACATCTCCAAGCCGGCAGCTGGAGTCATGCTTATGCCCGACATCTTGGGAAAACAAAAAAAACAAAAACAAAAAACCAAAAAAAAAAAAAAAAACCCCGGCAGTTTAAAACAGCCACAGTTTTACAGATAAGACACGTGGCCAGAAAAACATAAAGATTTACAGTAAAGTCAGACTTGGATGAACAAAACCTCTAAAGGTTTACAGTGTGTTTAAAAATATACGTGAGATTGAGAGAGAAAATGAAACAGCAAAGTGGTAAATAAATACAAAAGCTGGCATTGTGGTGGCGCACGCAGGTAGGATTTACTCCAGAGGCAGAGGCAGGCGGATTTCCAAAGAGAAACCCTGTCTCAGAGAAAAATAAATAAAAGTAAAATAAATAAAGTAATAATAGATAAATAAATAAGCCACATACTGGATACTGTACACTATTGTGTTTTTCAGTTTTTTGATTGCTCAGGAAGGAACAACTGCTAAAGTACACTTGATTATAAATGCTGCTGAATTAATTCAACTTCTATCTTTTGAAAATGCCTTGACTTCAAAATTTAAGTATAAGGATATGTTACTTGGGAAAGGAGATTTTATTTATGCTTCTACAGAAAATGAAAAGCTGAGGAGTCCTTCCAGGCTTCTGTGGTTTGATGAACCAAGACCCCCCAGAAGCAGTGAGCCAGGTGTTTCAACAATTGAGACAGCTAAGATGATGGAGCTTCACAGACCCTGGAAATAAGGACTTATATAGGCTTCTGAGTTTTGTCATGATCCCCATGGTATGAACAGTGCCCCCTTCCAGCACGAAGCAGTTTGGAATGAGTGACGTCCTAATTCCCATCTTGTTTATAAATCTTTGTTTTCATTTAAATAGGATTGTTTATAATTGGTTAATGATCACAACCAATCTCCTTTTAATGGTAAAAAGGGGGAATTATGGTATGGGTATGGTTTTTCATTTATTGATACAAATTCAAGGTCAATTTTGTGATGTGTATATTTCTCCTCTTGATTAAGTATTGTGCTTATACAGATCTTTTAAAATGTAATACTTAATTGAATACAGACTATAGATAGTTACTTATAATAGAATTTATAGTTAGGTAAGTTAGGTTTTCTAGATATACAAAAATATATTTGAGATGGATAGACACTCTCCAAACCTCTCAAAGACCTTCAGAAAATGGCATTTAAAATGGTTTAGGGTTTTTCTTGACAATGAGAAATGTCTGCTCCTGGCAGCACCGATTTCGTCTGAGAGGAAGATGGGCATCGAAGAAACTTGTTATGGAGTTTGCTTTTAACATGGCAAGATTAGCCATTTGGGCAAGAAACTGCTCTTGCCTGTACTGCTTGACTGTTGTTGTATAATCTGGACATGCAGGACCCATAGGAAAGTGACTGCTGAACTCAGTCTTACAGGGTTCCTGCTTCATGGAAGAGTCTACGAGACTTTCTGCAGGACAATGAAAAATGACTGACAGACTGCCAATGCAGATGGACAGTTTGAAATTTCCTGCTTTGCTGAGAAGTGTTCCAGACACACTGTGGCCTATGGGCTGAAGATGGATGCCCCAACATTACAGAGGAACTTTGGGTGACTGTCCAGGTGGCAAGATGTCTCTGTCATTTCTAGTGTTTATATATTATCCTTCTGTGGTCTTTGATGGAGTTGAAGACAGATAGTTATAGTTATAGTTTTCCTTAGTTATGATAAAACATAAGCTACATATAGGACTTTGGACTCACAAGAATGAGATAGATGATATTTTCTTTAAATCTTGCTAAATGTTGATAGACAAAATATTGTAACTATGTTCTTACTTGATAACTGTTCTGTTATATATAATTTGACTATGTTAAAGTTAAGACCTTTCTTTTTGTTTAGACAGAAAAGAGGAGATGATGTGGGATGTCCTGTGATTATGTCAATAAAGCACCGTTGAGCCAATAGGGAACCAAGATAGGAGGGACTAGGAGTCCAGAAGGACTCTAGGTAGGAGAAACACAGGGAGTCGAGATGTAACGCCATGGGGTAGGAAGCCCGGAAACTTCTCCGGTAAGAGACATACTTAGATTAACAATTATGGGGTAATTACTTAAGTCAGAGCTAGCCAGTAAGAAACAAGCAAGGCCAACAGCTTCATAATTAATATAGCCTCCTGTGTGTTTATTTAGGACTGATGCGGCTCTAGAACCAGGCTGGCGGGAAGGCTTCTCTCAAGGAAAAGGTTTCTCTTTACAGCTCAGAGATGGAGAAGAAATTACTTCCAACACACAGGCAGTCAGGATGGCTTGGGGCTGGAGCTAGGTCCCTGTCCCAGACTGTCTCCAGTTATTCCCTGGCAGGTAAACTACTCTGCAATTTTCCTCTCATACCCTCTATGGCACCCTACCCATGGAGAGTGCAATTGAATATTGTCTGGTCTAATAGTCCACAACACATAAAACCTCTCAACCATCAGCCAGACACAGCACTGGTCTGGACACACAGAAATTTAGGTGATGAGACCTGGATGTGGAGTCAATCTGAGGTGACTCCAGCACTGACATTTAAGGCAACAAGTGCGTACACTTTTAAAGGGGCTACAGTCATCTAATTCTAGCCACAAGATTTGTTAAGCAAAGAATGTGCCCTACTCCAAATGCAATAGCATTCTCACTGAAGAACACTGGTTAGGGTGACTGGAAATAAAAAATTAAAGAGGGGACCATGGCAGCCTAGAGGGAAAAGGTATAAGGAAATATGGGAACAGATAAGCAAGATGACTGGAGAGATGCCCATGGTCCCTAGGGTGAGAACTGGAGCAGGGAGACCAGAAAGAAGGAACAGGCATTGGTCATCGGGGCAGTGAGGGCAGCAGGAGGGGGTACAGAGAATCTAACTTCCAGAAGGTACAGGGCTTGGGATGACCTGTCTGAGAAAGAAGTTCAGGCCTCGAGGATATCCATAGCTTTTAGCCCAGTCTTGGGCTCACACCAGCCCTGCTGATTACAGCTCGTACCCCCTTTCTCTTTCCTCCCAGGCATCCCAGGAAGGGACAGTCATCCTTCCCTTACAGCCATACCTTAGGTGTGAACATGTACATCAGGCCATTGGTGGCTCCATGGAGTGTAAGGCCACGGACCAGGTAGATGATAAGTACGCAGTAAGGCATTGATGCGGTGAAGTAGACCACCTGTGGGCATCCAGGGACAGAGTGAGACTGCTGGAGAGGCAGGGATGGCAGGGCAGACAACCACTCCCACAAACACCTTACGTCTTTGGTGTTTAGGCTGTGTCCACAGCTGCTGAGAGCTGCAGGCGGCTCTGAGCAGGGTCTGGAGGAAGGCAGAATGGGACGTAGCTGCCCGTATCTGTTGCCACCATGAACTTGCTTCCTCAGTTTCTCCTTTCCATCCTCCTCCAGCCCCTCTGTCTCTAAGAAAGGCTGGAGGAGTCCACACAGTGTGTGAGTCTCTCTGTTCAGTATTTGAGCCAGATTTGACTCTGAGCTTTCTGGAATCCTGAGAAAAGCAGGAAGACGAGTCGCTTACAAGATCTATAGTATCTCTGAAGGGAAATTAGTTCAGCGCTTGGGGGCAGAACTGGGTTTTCAGGATGGGAACTGAGGGAAGCCTGGCTAGGCATGTCCATAGGTAGAAAGTAGTGCATGGGACAAAGTCCCCACAATAAATGCAACAGAAGTACTGATGGGATTTAGTGCATTCTTCATAAATTCTAATTGGTTAAGCCAATCTTCTTTACCTATTGACATGCAGCATAATTTAAGGATGTGTTCTTGGTTGCTTTGGCAGGAGAATCTCAGACTCAGGGTCACCCTGCCTTCTGAAAAGCCTCAAAGTAAGGGCTTTCAGGTGCATGTCTGCCTAGCCTGGGTGGGAAATTCTGGGTAAATCACTTCCTATGTATGCCTAGATTTATGGGTAAAGCAAAAAAAAAAAAAAGGCAAGGTTGTTTTTGTTTTATCAATCTTCTTTTAGGTTGGATCCACCTCTAAGAAGCACAACTAGTGACCCATGTCTTGCTATGCTTGAATTAAGCTCAGTCTTCCATTCCCTCCTTGGCATGGCAGGATTCTTTGTGAGTTTCTAAGACGGTCAGAAGGACACTGAGCAGGTTGTAGGATATGTGTTTACCATGGCTTCTTATACATTTAGGGGACTAATAAATAAACCCAAGAATCTAATATATCAAACCAAGTAGAGATACAGATGGATAAGGATCCTTTGACCAGTGATGTGAAAGGAATTCAGGGACATGGGGAAGGGCTGATCCTGGCTCATTAACACTGGGCACTTAGAGGACACTCAGACAAAGCTCTGGAATTTTCCTTCCCCACCCAGTGGACCATGTTTCTTACAAGCTTCTTGGAGTCCTCACAAAATGGCTCCTTTCTTTTTCTTGTGGGAAGGATGACTGGGCATGTGATCTAGCATAACTTATCAGGAAAATAAGTAAAAATCCAGAGGAGAATAGAAGAGACTTCGAAAGAAAAGGAATAGGCAGCATCTTTCCCTACACATGGAACTGCTGATGCGTTTCTGTCAGGGAGGGATCAGCAGAGAAAATAGATGGTAAGGATTGATATGGCATCATGTCTGGGCTTTACTTAATTCCACAATTATAAGAGGCCTGAAGAGGAAAGGACTGCTTTAATATTCAAGGGTATACACAGAGCAGATGCTGCAAGGTCTGGGATCAGTTGAGAAACCAATGTCAAATGTCATCCCAAGCACAACACCAGGGTTGTTGTATCTTTTTTTTTTAAAGACAGGGTTTCTCTGTGTCTTTGGAGGCTGTCTTGGAACTAGCTCTTGTAGACCAGGCTGGTCTCGAACCCACAGAGATCCGCCTGTTTCTGTCTCCCGAGTGCTGGGATTAAAGGTGTGCGCCACCACCATCCAGCTATTGTGCAATATCTTAATGACATAGGTTGTTCTAAGATTGATGCCTCATGAAAACACACACACACACACACACACACACACACACACACACACACGTCAGTGCTGGGGAAGGCAGCCAGGTGATCAGGAGAGTGAGATCTAGGGGGCTATGGGATTCTCAGAAGAAGAAAAATTGAAAGTGACTAAGTCACAAAAGACATGAAGATAACATTTATGGTGCATGTCACCAATAGGATGGGAAGACCTTGGAGTAAATCTGGGCTATGTCCTGACTCTGCTGTCCCTGGCTGTGATCTTTGGAAAACCACTTTACCTATCTAAGCCTTTTGGGCGTGTCATCATATATCTACTCTGAGGGGCTGTTACAAGAATAAGACACTGTGATCAACTATGGATTTGCTTTGCAGAGTAGTTGAGTATAGAACATTCACCCCAGCTTGAGACAGGTGCAGGTGATGGAAATATAGCAGATATATCAGCCTTCAGATGAACGGAAACCTGGGCATCCAACAGGAAGAAAGGACTTAGGCAGATGAAAGGCCTAAGCTGGGTACTGTGACACATCTGTGGCCTACAGTCCTAACACTCAGAAGGCTGAGTCAGGAGGATCTCTGTGAGTTTGAGGCCAGCTTGGGCTGCACAGTGAGTTTCATGTCAGCCTGAACTACATAAGGAGATGCTTTCAAAATAAAAAACCAAAACTAAAACCCCAAACCACACAACAACAAAACAAAACAAAAAACAAACCAAGGAAGAATCCAACAGTTCTGTGTGTCACTGAGTCCCTGAAAGCGCTTTAAAATGGGATCCCCCCCCCAACTACACAATAAAGTCACCGGAAGCTGGCCCATCTGTCCATGTTGAGGTCCCTCCCCAGAACAATAGCTCTGGCATCTGAGGTTCAGACTGAGTAGTCAGATGTTGGAATATTGCCAAGAAATGTGCTGTTATAGCTGAGTTTGAGAGCTGGCTGGGGCATCTCATTTTAGATTCAGTGTCACAACTTTAACCACTTCTGACAACCTTCACTGCCAGCTAGTAGAGGGACATGCCAGTAACACCATCCATGTCTCCTGACCCACTAAGCCTCTGAGACAGCCCCTGGCATCGACCAAGGCCAGGGCCGAGGTGCTACTCATCCACCCACCCAGATGCAGCCCCAGCACACTCCCCAGCCCACCTTGCCTGTTGACTCGGTGCCTCTCAGGATACACAGATACACCATCAGCCAGGCCAGGATGAGGCACAGTGCTGGCTCCCACTGCACTCCCCCATTCTCCTGGATGGACGGTGAGATGTTGAGTGTTTTCCTGTACCAGAAGTACTGTGTGGACGAAGCCTTTTCACACTCCTCGTCATAGCCTGTGCGGTTACCATTCAGTGGGCAGACAGACCATGGCAGGGGATCCTTTGGAATGAAGTGAGAATCAACAGAGAGGTAAGGGGAAGGCCAAGGCCGGGGTAGGATGGTAGTAAGTGGCTTTGACGGGAGGCTTTACACCTTGTCCTGTACGTATGGGCTAGCCTGACTTGCTTAAAGCAAGAGAGTACAGTGGAGCAGAGGGTTCCTGGCCTTGACTTTCCAGATCCTTGTAGCTACCTTTTGCCCCTGTTCAAAACCAGCTGTAGGGCTAGAGAGATGGGTCACTAGTTAAGAGTATTGGCTGTTCTTCCAGAAGACCCAGGTTAGAGTCCCAGAACCCGTATGATGGCTCACAACCACGTGTAACTCTAGTCCTGGGAGATTTGACACCCTCTTCTGGCCTCTGCAGGCACCAGGCATGCATGGTACACAGATATGCAGGCGAAACACCCACACACATAAAACAAATAAGATAAAATCTAAAAACAGGCAAAAAAAAAAAACCAAGCTGTGGAGGATCTTGAATTAGAATCTTGGAACAGTGAATCCATTTGGATGGAGAGGCCACAGGAGGGAGACATCGATATCTGATGAAAACCAGCAGCAGGTCCCAGCCAAGAAACAGTTGCCTGGTCTAGTCAACATTCTCTGGACCCTCTGCTGAGGCCACTCTAACTCACTCTGTTTCACATATTTGGCTGCAAATTTGAGGATAACTTGGCTGTACCCAGGACCTCTAGGATCTCTTGCTTGAGATGAGCTGGACATCAGGTTTTTGAATGCTCCTGCCAATGTACATGCTGCAGGAAGGGCATGTCAGAACTGGTTCAATGGAGCAACTGAGAAATTTTCAGTTCTCTTCTCCCTTCATCTGTATCAGAAGTTAAAGATAGGGTCCCTACATTTGCTTGGCTAAAGGCACCTGCTGAGAAGGACCCCCCCACCCCATTAAGCAGAGTCCTGTAGAGTCACTTGCAGCTTGTGGGATTGAACAAAAGCTCTCATGTAGTGTGTATGAGCACAACAGTGTAGAGTTGTGTGTTCCAGGGACATGCCTGGCCTATAGAAGTGAAAGTGAAGGTCAGCTGTGTCATCATCCTGTGACCTTGGAGGAGGACTTAATGTAGAGGTGAGGGCAAGTCCACCAACCTGTGAAGTATGGAATGCATGGATATTAAAGGGGTGCCTCCTAGGTAGGTCCTTCTCCTCTCTTTCCATCTGGAAAGAGGCTGAGGGGAGTGGAGGCAGTGGGATTAGAGTCTCTGAGAGTGGAAAGGCTGAAGATGGGGGGAGATAGACTATGAGTGCTGGAGAGGAAGGTTCCTTATCTTTGCACAAAGCTCTCAGTGTGGAATTGTGGTTCTTCTATTTATTTTCCACAATGCCTAGACCCTTCCAGAATACTAGTAACAAGGATTTGGGTCATACATTGTTTAGAATGTTTGCCATTGGAAATAACCCCTACAATGTTAAAGAGTGGCATTGCTCCTTCTAGGTGAACTTTTGGGATTTCAGGACCCGCTTAGAGCCAGAAATATGGAAAGACAAGTGACAATGACAAGTGGGAAGAGAAAGGAGGAGAAATAACTATTTCAAATTTGCCTGTTTAAGTCCTTGCCACAGATTTTCTCCTGAGTCTGTCATGAGATGGTTTGTAATATTTTCAGGACACTCCCTGTAGATACTCCAGTGAGTGCTGTGGAGCTACTCCAAAGAAATGTGTGTTGCATTGCCACTTACTACACAGTTGCATTGCATGGCTTACATTGTGACAAGTAGTGGATCCAGATTCTGATTGTCCCCGCTGGGCTTGGGATGTGTGGCTTCCCCCACTCTCTCGCCTCTGAGACGGTTCCTGCAGGCCGGTGTTCTCAACCACCATCAGCTTCCCACATGGTGAGTAGCCCTGCATCTTCTACCATTTTTGCTTTTGCTCTGGCTAGAGGTTCACTCACCTGGAAGGAGTGGAAGAGGTACCAGAAGCCCCAGGCATTGATGACGTTGTAGTACATGGAGAGGAAGAAGGAGACCACCACGCTAGCAACACCTGTGAGCAAGCAGAGGGCCATGCTGTTGATCAAATGTGTGATTTAACCAGTGGCACTTGAACAACAGAACTATGGTGACATCCCAAAACAAGAACACGTTTCCTTCAAGTTTTCATTAGACCTGATGCCCCACCTATGACCTCTTCCTGGGGGTTATTCTCCCTAACATCTGATCATCTGAGATGGGAGACTAATGACAGTTTTATAACATCTAAGTGTCAGGTCCCAGGCTCAGTATTTTGTGGGCCATGAGTTCTCACAACAGTACTGTCCTCCTTTCAAAGAGCAAACGGAAGCTCAGAGCTTTCCCCAAAACTACCCAGTAGAGCCATGGTGAAGTGCCAACCACACGCCTGATGTGACACTTGTTCCTTTTGGAGGTTGAGTTGCTGGAGCCAACCCCATGCATGCGGCAGGAGTGTGAGATGTGAAACACACAGACAACCCTACCTGCAGCCTGGTCTGACCTATGAGGTCCCGCGGCAGTGCTGTGACAAGGGAGAGTTTGCCATCAGGTTGCTCTAAAGTGTGCTCACGCTGGCCCTCGGGAGTACTGCCAACTTTTGTCATCGCACGTGTAACCAGGAGAGCTATAAATTGTTGACCTTGGGTGCGGTGGACTATACCAGTATCGATATTACAGAGCAGCTCCCTTCACCCCACTGGGAGTTCAGGCCAGTAAGTGGATGTCAGTGCCCAAAGGGCTGGGCAGCCTCCCCCATCTTTCCAATGTGCAGCATACATTGTTGCCTCAGCACATCTGATGGCCTTCAGAGCTTTTTCACAGTGAGGAGGCAGTTTGGAGATGACTCCTAATGGCCCTGGCACATTTCTTCTAAAGATGCGACAGGTCACATCAAATTGACCCTTCTCCATTATCGAACAATGACTCAGCCTTCCTGTCTCTCCCCTTTCTTGGGCATGAAAGCTGCACAGAACATTTATGGCCACTGATGGCCCTGGATCCTGGACTTTTACAAAGCAGGAGAATCACATCCTTGAGGTGCTAGGGGACAATGACTGAAGGTCACTCTAGAAGGGTGCAGTGGGTCACACCTGGTACGCATAGATGCCTTGGCTTCTGCATACAGGCATCAATATGGTGTCCCAAAGCCCCTAAGTGGCGTGTGCGGATGAAACGACCTCACACACTTGCATGCCACGTTCAGCATCAGGCACACGTTAACCAGGGGGCGGTTGTGTACATCCCCAGATGGTGGGTGGCTGGGACTGAATGAACGTCTCTGTGCCAGGCAGCTATGTCCAGCCATTCACAGAATTCTCAAGCTAAGGTCCAGAGTGGAGATGCCCCGAGGTGGGAGTTTCCCTGGAGGATGGAGTTCTGTACGAGGGTCAGAATCCAGGGCCCTTCTCTGCCCAAGCTCCATGGTAGCCCTCCCTGGACTGTCAGCTCATCCAGTCACAGGCCCTGCTCACGGACAGCAGCCTGCGCACCCCGTGATGCTCAGGAACACACGAGTCTCTGTCAGAGGAACTGAAAAGGGTCCCACGTACCGACGCCACTGAGGTAGGGGCTGATGGTCCTCCAGGCACCGATGCTGCCCTGCCGCATGCGCTGCCCCACAGCCAGCTCCAGGTACAGGAGTGGCATCCCCTCTACAACCAGCATGATGACGTAGGGGACCAGGAAACTCCCTGTGGGAGAGCAGAGCTGAGCGTCAGGTCAATGTGGAGAGATGGGATTTACCCTGCCCGGCTTCTGTGCGGCCATGATTCTACCACCTGGGAGCCTTTCCCCAGCCAGAGCTCCTCCCACCCCGCCCTTCTACCCGCAGACCTTTCCACTGAGCTGACATTCTTCTGCCCGAGTGTCTTCCTCCTTCCCCACGCCCATCCTCCTACAATTCGTCTCACCACACATCAGCTCGCTCATCTATCTGACCATCCTTCGATTCATTTATTCATCCATTTACCCATCCTTCTTTTCTCCCTTCTGTCCCTCTATCTGTCTAACCATAAATCTATTTATCTATTTCTAGTAAAGGCTATATTCCCAAAAGCTGTATGGAGTAGTAGTCCAAGCCTCAGAGGTTATAAAATAATCTCTCTCTCTCTCTCTCTCTCTCTCTCTCTCTCTCTCTCTCTCTCTCTCTCTCTCTCTCTCTCTCTCTCTCTCTGTGTGTGTGTGTGTCTCCCCAAAGTGTCAAACAGTAACCACAGCAGGCCTAGTGAGTCCCATGGTCAGCTTTTCTCTGTGACCAGGCCTACTCACTTGACTACTGTTTGGGGTGAGGTAGAAACCCAAGCCCTGGTGCCAAGTGGGAATGGGAACATTTTTAGCACTGCCCAGAAATCATTTGCATCACTCTCCCAACCCCCAATTACACAGTTCAGGCAGATTGGCGTGGCAATCCTTTTGACAAAGGCACTAAAACAATTGAAAAGTATATGTACAGACAAATTAAATGTAATACGTATTACAAGGTTTGTATAAAACGATGAAAATAGACCATAGACCTATATTTAGTATCTAGAGATTTAAAATTTAAAAGAAGCAACAGGAAAAAATCTTTAAAACTTCAGATTAGGCAGAGGTATTTTATATACAAAAGCAAAAGCACCATCTATGGAAGGAAATGCTGATAGATTGAGCTATATTACATTTTCCCCTTGAATAACACTTAGCACAACAACAACAAAAAGAACATCAGCAGACTTGGAGAAAACATATAGGAAACCCGTTCCTGTGGAAGTGTGATTATGAGCCATTTATAATGGAATCTCAAAACCAATGGCCATTCCAGAAGTGACGTGTCTTAGTACAACTATGCTGAGTCTCAGAATGCATGAGATCTGGTCTGTTATAGAGAATGGAAATGCAGTGGCTCCTGGCTCTGGAGGAGGCACCATGCAGAGCACGCTGCAGCAGAGGGCAAGAGTGAGGTGTGAACTCCATTCTAGAAACAAGCTTCACTTCTGTGATTACAGCAATCTATCCTCGAGGGCCAAACCCTCATAACCCAATCACTTTTGACATATCCTTCCTCTTAACATTGTGGAGTGGGGACCAAATTTCTAAGACATGAGCAGAGCAGTATCTGTAAGAGGTAAATAGTCTCATCAGAAGATACTTAAGACGGCAACTCATTAGGAACCTGTACATTTATACAACAATGAGAAATGTGCTGTATATTAATATAAAATATTTTGCAATTAGTTTGAAAACAAGTCTCCTAACCAACCCTCTTTCAACTACTCCCATGCCTCTTTGATTTAAAAAAAATTCTAATGAACAAGGAAACCTTGACATCGGAGGGAAAGGGCCAGCAAGGAGCATACTTGGTGAATTAAATATAGTCACTATTCTTCAGTGATCCTCATACAATAAGGGGAGTTCTCCCCCCTAGCCTATGAGTCTGGGCTGGCCTTGGAAAGAGCTTTGTCCATCAGAATGTGGTTAAAAAAGAGATGGCATGTGTATTCCAGAGGCTTGCGGCTTTTTCATCCTCATGGAGTATAGCCAGCGAACATCATACATGATGGAGTTGTTCTAGGTTCCCCGGAATGAGGAGCTACATGTAGGACAATTGTGGGCCACTAGCTCAAGTACTGGGTGTGTGGGGCCAGAAGAAGCTGTCAAGCCTCTGTTAGGTACCTCAGAGCTGTGTGAGGTGATTTTTGTTGCTGTAAATCATTACTTTCTCCTCTTCTCAGTACCCAGGACATTTGCTATACAGAGCTTTTGCAATTTTGCCAGTTTCCCAGAGTAGGATCCAGCACACAGTCAGATCTTCAGATCTGGCCTTAATGTTTCCTTAAGGGTGTTTTCTTCCCCCACTTTAGAAGTTTACCAGCGAGTTATTTTGTGGAATGTCTCTCATTTGAGGTTCTGGCAGAAACACTACAGTAACCTGATGTCCTCCTCCAGAGGTACAAGGTGTCCATTTGCCCCTTCTTGGCAACGTCAACTTTGTTCACGTGGCTTAGGTGGTGTCTTCTGCTAGATTTCTCTGCTAAAACTTAACTCTTTCCTTTGAAGCAATAAAGTAATTTGGAGGGGGATACGTCTTGCTTGTTTTTGTTTTAGAACATGGTCTCATTACATGGCTCAGGCTGGCACTCTTCCTGCCTCAGCCTCCCAAATGCTGCATTACTGGCAGGCTTGGCCACTGCGTTAGACTCAGAGAATCTGATTCCTGTTCTATTGTGTGGTCGTTTTACACGAACCAATATTTCTTACCTAATCCAGTGACAGCTGCATGGATCAGACTGTAACATTCTCTATCATTTTCGATGCTGTCATTTTCAAGCTGTTGTCACTCACAACGGGTAACTAGAGCATATGTGAGCATTTTTTTGTTAGCACCCCTGGCACCTGAATGTCTATGTTAGCTCAGGTGGATGGAACACTTAGTTGGAGGATGGCTGGGAGGAAGTGGCATGGTTTTTATTCCTTAGGTTCCCTGAAACCTGCCAATGTATCTCTACCTGCATTGTACCACGCACCATTACACCTCCACGCTGGTCTTCCGGCTCCCGGTTTGTAAGTGTTTTCCTGGCTCTGTCAGAAACTGGCACTCTGCCTGCTTTAGCCCTCAGCCTCTAACCTGGTCAAACCCTCTTTTCTTACTCCTTACACTTGAGATAAAACTTACACTCCCTCCTTGATCTCCAAGGACTTCTTTTTCCCTCTGTGGCCACTGTTCCCTCCCTAGGAGACCTTAGCACCTTTACTTCTGTCTCCCCCTGTCCATTTTCTGCACACATTTGGCTTCCTTAGAGCCCTCCCTCTCTGCCTTCTAATCTGTACCACTTACTTTTTGAGTTATAAGCTATGAGAAAGTACCACTTACTTTTTGAGTAATAAGCTATGAGAAAGTGCAGGAACCGCCATTTTCTCCTGGTATCTCTATCCCCACCACTGAGGAAGCCTTCGTCCCTTACTCAGCCTCACACGGCACTGGGCAAAGCTGGAGCCCAGGATGTCTGCAGGTGAGTATCTTTCAGGTCTTCCCGGACCTTTTACACATGGCATTCCACGTCCCCCCAACTTCAAATACTAAGGTGGAGTCTTCTTCATCTTTGGTCTGATAGTTCCTGCTCTTGAGGCAATTGTCCCCATACTATTTACACCTATGCTACCCCCACACTTCTAAGCCACCCACTGAGGACAGAGGAAGACTCTATGCGGCTTACCACTGCCATTTAGCTTTGCCAAGGAGCAGGCCCTTCACAAACTGTTGGTGATAATGGTTCTACAGGAGTGGTTCTATTTAGGAGGGTAGGCAATAAAGGTATTGCTGGAGGATAATGATGGAAGTGTCTTGAAAGTCACTCATGTTGCTAAGAACAAAGCATCTAAAAGTTCACACAGGGCCCAGTAAGATGGTCTAGCAGGTGAAGGTGCTCTCCACCAAGCCTGATGACCTGAGTTTGATTCCTGGGACACACAGGTTGGGAGGGGAGAGCTGACTCTCGAAAACTGTCCTCTGTCCGCTACACAAAATAAATAGATTTTTAAAAAGCAATCTAAGAATTCACACAGAACTATCTTAACTTCCTTTGACTTTACTTGTGTGTGCATTAGATAAGACAGGGGAAAGTCTATCCATAAAGATGGGCAATGATAAGTGTCCCTTGAACCTATGATAAGACACTGTAGATCAACAACAGCAACAAAAAACTTTAGCATGCTAGAACAAATGTCTTCCTCTGAAATAAACTTGCTGTGGGAAAGAAAAGAAGCATAGGGGAATTGTGTTAATCAGATAGCGTCAAGCAATGAAGATGAACAGTGCATAAGAAAACATGTTTCTTAAAGATGAAAAATATGATTGTTGAACTTAAAGCCCAGTGGAGCAAAAAGTACAGCATAGTCACAATGATAAGTTAAGCTCACAGAAAAAGAATCCAGAGATGGACATTACAAGAACAGAGAGAAGGCGTGGCCAGCAAGGTTGAACCCTTTATCTAGTACTGAGGGGGACAGAGCACTACAGATACAACAGTTGGAACATGTGCAATAATGAGATTTGTAAGACAATTTCTGAATTATTGAACATCACATATATTTCTGTGATACTTTAAGTGCGTAGGGCACCTATGAATTAATAAAATTAGCCACAGAATTCTCCATCACAGAATTAAATATCTGAAAACAATAGAAAAAATCTGTAAATTTTGAGCAAAGGAAACTGCAACCCATTCATGGTGCTATAAAGGAAAGATAGTCTCAGACACTGAGTCTTTTATTTTCTGTTCCTGAAAGAATTACTTGTTGATGAGCTTCAGCGTGGGATCAGAGGAAAGAACTCAAGGATGGAGTTGTGTTATAAAGTAAGTCATCAATAGTAAATAAGTAAGCAAAACAATGAAGGGTAAAAAAATAATGCTGTTGGTTTCACTGGAAAAAAATACTGTAAAAGACAAAAGGAATCCATGAGTAGGGAAACGTGATGTTGATAGTAAAATAATCATTGTCACGTATATGAAATCCCAGATTATATTTTAAAGATGGGCTTTGTAGAATGGGGTAAGGAAAGGGGAAAGATGTAACGTAAAAGCATGTTGTGATTTGAAGGTGTTCCTCAAGCTAATTCACATGGTAATGGCATGTGTAGGTGGGACCTATGAGAGATGGTTGGGTTTGGGGAGTGACTTTGGAGTAAAGATTTCTCTAGGCTGCTCTGTTTCAG